TGTAGATGCAGTCAGAACAATGGTGGGATAGCAAATAACTTCTGACTTTCTGACCCAAACCTGTCTAGTGAATGGTGTAATAGTCTTATTCTGATATTTTTCCTTCCTTTGATCTCTGTAGAAAAAATAGCACTCGGGACGTGTATGACCTTTTGTCTGACAGTAGTGACAAATGGGAGTATAATATCTAACTTTGACAATCTTATTTTTGAACCTCGAATAATGAGATTGATGAGTTGATCTGTCCAGGTCAGTGTTAGTACCGTATCTCCTTTCCTTGGTTTGTACTGACTGAGATGACTGTCCTTGTTCATACCTGTGATTGGCTGTGAGCTTAGACATTCCCTCTTTGATGAACTTTGGTGCGTTATTCGAAGATTCTCCTTGTTCAAATCCCAGACCCTTTTTATCATTAGGGTTTCTGCCAGAGTCTAGAATCTTATCTAAGGTAGATGTGGTGTCCATCATCTGTATATTTTTCTTCAAGCTCTCCAACTCCTTGATTAATTTACCTTCTCTGGACTGTATCTGAGTGATGAGATCTTCTGTTATGACCAGTTCAGCATTCAATTTCTTTAGAAGATCATCTCTTTGCTTTAGATTGTCATTCAGATTCTTATTTACTTTCACAAGTTGTTCCCAGCTAGCGACAAGTTTTGCAAATTCTGCCTCAAGTTGAATATGTCTCTCTTCAAAATCATCTGTTGATATGTATGATTCTCCATCTGATTGATCTCCGTCTGATTGAATGTTTGTGGCAGTGAAGAACGCTACAAAGTTTCCTACATTATCATCTGATTGATCATGTGAAGTTTCCTCCTCATCATCACTAAGAGTAGCTATAGACATAGCCTTTTTCCTTTTAAGATATGTTGCACATTCAGCCTGTATGTGACCGTATCCTTCACATTCCCTACACTGCACTGACTAATTGAGGGGTTTTCCTGTGTCTGTGGCACTATTTCTGTTTTGTCTCGATCGCCCAGTCTGAGATTGATTGTTCTGTGAGAAGGGTGCTGTTTCAACCTTTTGATATGAGGGGTTGTTGCCTTTGTATTGTGTTCTTGTAGACTGACCTTGACCATTTCTGTTGAAACCTTTTAAGATTTTCTTGAAGTTTTTAGTTAGGAGAGCTAAGGTTTCATCATCTATGTCGTCTGTGTCAGATTCTCGATCAGCTTCAGCCACAAAAGCTACAGACTTTCCTTTCTTGTTGCTTCCAATATCCTCATCAGCAAGAACTTCCAGTTCATATGTGTGCAAGCTTCCCACGAGTTCTCCAACAGTCTTCTTTTCCCAACCTGTGTGTTCCTGAATAGCCGTTACTTTCATTCGAAAACGTTTAGGTAAGGATCTGAGAATCTTTTTGACCACTCTCTCATCAGTGAATGGTTCCCCAAGAATTGAGGCTCGGTTCATCAAGTTCTGAACCCTACTGTGGAAGGTAGAAATGGTTTCTTCTTTAGTCATTCTAAGAACTTCGAATTCTGACAGAACCATTTGCAACTTTGACTGTTTGACATCACTGGTTCCTTCAAATCTGGTTCCAAGAATCTCCCATACCCGTTTAGCCTCTTTTACCCCTGTAACAAGCGTAAAAACAGATTCATGTAGTGATCCAACAATTGAGTTCAGTGCTTTGTTGTTCAGATCAGAGGCATTCATTTCATCGTCTGTCTAAGTCTCCATGGGTTTTTCTTCAGCAACTCCTTGTGCATTCGGAGTAGTAGGTCGAATCCACCCAGTTAGGATGGTGTGATAAACCCTGGTTCCTTGTGCTTGAAGATATATCTCCATACGAGCCTTCCAGAAAGAGTAGTTGTGACCATCTAGTTCTGGTGGTTTCATACTTGCGTCCATCCTAAAAACAACAACCAGCCAACGAACACACAGACAGACTTCCACAGAAATAGAGAGAATGCAAAACTAAGATAGCCCTTCGGATCAAGTCACTATGTAGACTTAAAAGCTCTGATACCACATGTAATTTTGCATTTCCTCATTTTACGTAAAATATCAGAAATAGTTGGCTGACTTAGAATACTGATTGATTCAGTTAAGCGCCTACTCAGTAATGATAGATCATGAAGAGAACATCAGAGAAATAAAAACAAACACACAGAACGAACACTCACAATGTTTACCCAGTTCGATACGGTGTGTATCTACGTCTGGGGGACGATCACATAGGCGTCCAATCCACTAAATCATAATCCAATGTACAAAGGTAGATATACAATAATCTTACCCAAGTGCCCCACACAAGGTACAAACCCAGTCTACACAGGTTTAGTGGATTGTTGAAGATGGAGAGCCATGCATACAGAAGTCCAATGAAATCCCTTCACTTGGAGAGCCCACTCTGATGCAGTCCACTTCAGTGACGCTCTATAAGGTTGTACCCACAACAGTCTGATCTTAGTGTCCTTTCGTTTAAGCAGCAGTAACTCTTCTCAAGTTCATCATCTTAATCACCGTGAACATGTTGTATTGAGAAGGTGCATGACAATCAAGGATCTAGTATCATAAAGCTGATATGGAGTGTTTCTTCTTCTTATTCGGCGTAACCCTAGTTCCCTTCAAGAACTGGTACTTATAGATCATTCAATAAACACTCTCCATAGATATCTTTGATTGTAGAAGGTAGGACTATAAAAGGGAATGTAATCTTAGCAGATTAGGTCCATTACCTTCTTTGAAGATACGCTGATCGTCTTTCCATACTGGGCTGATAATACCGCGTGAGCCTCTTAAGGAAACTGCTTCCCTAAGTCAGATCTTCAGTGTCAGTTCTTCTGTTGTTGCTTCTGATTGATCAAATATCTGTAGAACCAACCGGACAAACTCTAAACCTATCTTAGTATGCCATAATAATATTGCCAATTATAATATGGGGTTTTTGAACATAAAAACACTAACATACCTAGGACACCTTTTGCCGTAACAATCTCCTAGCTACATCGCATTTTGAGGTTGTTCACTGTTCGCTCAAAGAATGTTCGAACAGTAGATTACGAGAGGTCACCTTTTACTATTTGGAGGTTAACCATTTGTAACACATCTCAGCAACCTTTCGTATTTGACTTTTCTTAGTGAATCATTACACTTCATAAATTAACTTCTCACTTAAGTTGACTTTTTGTGTCCCCTTACTATCCGATTAAGGTTGACCCTTCAACTATTCGGTCAAACAACCTTTTGGTCTCGAACTCTTCGACTCTTCGTCTTTTACTTCTCGCTGTTTGACTCCTCGACTCTTTGTAGCTTGACTCCTTAAAGGTCACAATTCTGACTTCTCTTACGTTTACTTCTCGAATTTATTTGACTTCCTGAATAAATTACTTCCCGGTGGGGTTAGATTCATTCTTAAAGTGACCTTTCAAAGACGGGAAAAATGTTTAAGGCTACTTTTCAGTTGGTTTCATTATCTAAGTGACCCTTTGAACTCCAATTCCTAAGTAAAAATTGGGGACTAAAAACTCATAACACTTTTGGTATCATTAAAATCTAAATTATAATGTTTCTAACACCATTATTAAATTTTCAAGTTTACAATAATTATAAAATAAACTCCGTTCTTAAAATTTTCAATAATTATAAAATTGACCCCGTGTTTTTTTTTTTTAACTAAAACTCTCAACCATTGGTAAACGTTAAAATAATGGTTGAGATTAGTCTTTACTTTGTGGACACATTCACACCTTCCATCTTGAGAAATAAAAGGTTAAAAAACTTTCAAGTTTACAATAATTAACAAATGAACTCAATTCTAAAAAAATGTAATAATTATAAAATTCACCTAATATTTTTTTACAAAACCTCAACGAAATCTATCTTCACTTTTTACCAGAAAACTCTATTATCATTTGAATCCCCTCTATATAAAGTTTATTTGGTAAATAATTATTTTTTCCTTAACCAACAGTTCTTTTTTTTCTTTTTTTTTTTTTTTTTGTTTTTTTGAAAGGAACCAATAGTTCTTTTTAATGTACTATAAACGTAAGTGATAATAATAATAATAATAATAATAATAATAATAATAATAATAATAATAATAATAATAATAATAATAATAATAATAATAATAATAATAATAATAATAATAATAATAATAATAATAATAATAATAATAATAATAATAATGGTGATATTATTATTATATTATTATTATTTAAAATAAAGAGTATTTATATATTTTGAAAGATTTTTTTTTCCACTTCTATTTTTAACCCAATCACATATTAAAATATAAATTTTAAGTTTATTTATTTCACAATGAATATAATTCATATTATATTTCTTATCTAGGCTTATTCTATCCCTATAAAATAATTTTTTTTCTTACCTAGACTTATTTTATATACAAATTATATTGTAGATAAATGTTTATAATACTTAGGATAGATACAAAAATTAGTATAATTGATCAATAATTATTATGTTAATTAAGCTAATAATTACATGAATATTTATATAATTACAATTAAACATGAGTTGTTGGATTTATTTTTATAATAACTACAATTAATTTATTCAGATATGGAGGAGAATGAAAAAAGTAAACACGATATGGTGAAAAGGAATATACATAAGGTATAAAAATATAATTGCACATAATTAGTTTAATTGTATAATAATTATTATGTTAATTAAGCTAAACATGAGTCACTGAATTTATTTTTATAATAATTACAAATAAATTATTTTTTATTTTTTATATTTATTTTAGTAATAATATAATTACATAAATCATATTATATATCGATTTTTTTTTTTAAAATAAGTGCAGACAAACAAATCATATATTATTTGTTTATAATTAATTGAGTAATACTTTACATTTATTTATAATCAAATAAATGTACACTTTCAAATATTAAAATTATTTATAATTTAATCTTTAAATTTATTATCTAAGTATATAATAAAAAAATTTCATCCGTCCCGTCGCACGGGTAAGATACTAGTTCTATATAACATTGGACTTAAGCTCCCAAATAAAACGGGAATCTGATGTTGGTACTTGGTGCGCCCCAGCTAGAATACTAACCCGAACCGAATGCCAAACCCGTATCGAAGAATTGATTACTCTTACTCAGTTAAAATCTGTTTCGTTGAAGAAGACGAGAGCAATTTAGGGTTTTAGTGTTAAAGTCGATTCTCCATCACTCAACTATGTCGTCCACCCTTGAAATAGAAGCTCGAGAGTACGCTTTCTCCCTCTCATATATTTCATATGCTCTATTTATGTGTATATGTAAGTGTATATGCGTAATGCTCTTGTTTCGGGTGAATATTGGGGAAAACCATGATTGTTTGTTGAAAGTTCGAAATATGCATCAGAACTATATTCTTTTCCTTTATGAAAATTTAGTTTTTTCTGTTTACTGAACAAAAAAAAAAAAAAAACGTTTTCTCGACACTTTATAACTAGACTAGAAATAGCTAATGCATATCTGAAGTAAGCTGACAGAGATTCTATAGTATTTTGAAAGTACTTTGAACACTTTTCTGAAACAATTTGAATGGCAATAACTCAAGTATTAAATTTTGTTTGGCTTCTTTTTTCGGTTCTGTGTAAATTCAGAGGAATTTTGTAGCAAAGCTGCAATTTTTACATGGCTACTGTTTTTTGAAGTTATGGAAGCTCAATTAAGTAAATGTGCAAGCATGTAATATGTGTGTGCAGTAGGATGTGTATATTTGACCATCAGGGGTTGCTAACGTGTTCCGATAATAGATCCCAACGATTAAATAACATACATTTCTTAGTTCATCTGCAAATTCTGTGAGAGGGAAGATAATGAGGGAATTTTTAGAAGCTCATATAAATTTGGAAAAAGAAGCATGAATTCTGAAAAAAAAATAAAACCAATTTCAAATTTGCAGCACTATGCCTATGGCTGCCGCCGTTAATTAGGTAAATGGGACTATGAGAGATCTACTTTGTAAGTCATACTACTCAGGGTCAGGTCCAATTAAATTTGAATGGCTAATTCTCTAATTGTACTTTGAGATTTACTTTTTCAACTTCTAATATTTTTGTATTAAAAACTAATTCAGTTCCAAAGTTATTCAATGCAGTCAGAAAGTGAGGACACGTTTGTTTTCTTAAAGAAATTTAAAGAATGCCAATTCTTTTTTTTTTTTTTTTTTTTTTTTTTTTAAGAGAAGCAGAAGAGACCTCTTTTTCTTTTTTCAGTCTTCAGAATCCTAGTACAATCAATTTCTCTTTGGACTATCTTTCTTTTAAAAGAATTGTCCTCTTCTTATCTACTCTTCAGAATCCCAGTAAAATCAATTTCTCTTTAGATCATCTTAAAAAAAATCCTATGCTCTTCTTCTGTTTTAATTTTATCCTGTTTATGTTCTTTGCTTGGGAAATGGTATAAGATTGTGTTATCATGTACTGATATAAAGCGAACAAGAAAACTGATTGTGTGTCTGCTTTGTTGTGCAGTGTAATTAAGATAGTTCTTCAATTCTGCAAAGAAAATTCTTTGCATCAAACTTTCCAAACATTACAAAATGAGTGCCAGGTTTCTCTCAACACAGTGGATAGCCTTGAAACTTTTGTTGCTGATATTAATGGTGGGCGATGGGATGCAGTATTACCTCAGGTCTCACAGCTCAAGCTTCCTAGAAAAATACTCGAGGATTTGTATGAGCAGGTATGCAATCTCTGATAGGGAAAAAAGCTTTAATGCCATGTATTCTCATTTATCATTTACTTGCCAACAATATTTGTGTTTTGCATGTTTCCATTTTTTCCTTTTGAATTCACAATTCAAAACCAAAATTTTCATTATTATTGGCATGGGAAAGAAATGATAATACTGGAATGCTTTTGAGTCTGCTTTGTTAAGTGTTGAACTATGAAACTGTGTATATATCTCACTATGAAAACTGTACAAGATAGAACCTATTTATACATAGGCTAAAGACTACTAGGCCACATAATTCAAAACAGAAATGTAAGACTAAGAGCAACTCTCTCTAACAACCCTTATTCCTCTAACATGCTTGTTATTTTAGTTGGTCATTAGGCTTACAGTAAGGGTGATAAAACCTTTAGTCTACACCGTTTCCTCTTTATTTTCTGTTTCCATTATTAATTAATTTTTCAAATGAAGAAAAGCACAGCGGAATTCCTAAACTCATATGGAGGATTCATTAGTCTTGACCTGCCTTACTCCAAATCATATATATAGAGAGAAATGACAATTGGAGACTAGGGAAATAAAATAAGTTCCAGACAAGTCTTGCAAAAGAAAGAAACTGAAGTGAAAGGACATTTTTGATGATATGTAGGCTCAGCTTTTAAATACACGCACAATTTTGAATATTCTTACTAAAGTATCCATTACAATAAGTGAGAAAAAGTAGACTTAAGGATATATTTTCTGCAAGTTCTTGTGGAAGCCATGATTAAAATGACAAGATCACACACTTGGCCGAATTCAAGCCTGAGATTTACTAGTGTGCATGTTCCCATATATCACCTTGCAATGTATGTGTCTTTTAATATTTGGTTGACATGGACACAGTTGGTTTTACTTTATACTTGAGGATTTAGGTGGTATAGCCAGAGTGTTTATTTCATCTTTTAGTGGTGTATTTTAATGAACTCATAGCTGATGCTGCAATGTTGACTGGATACTTTATGTTCTTACGAATAATGCTTATTCTAATGTATTTTTTTCCCAAACAAATTAGATTGTTTTAGAAATGATAGAACTCCGGGAGATAGATACTGCACGTGCTATTTTGAGGCAAACACAAGTGATGGGTGTCATGAAGCAGGAACAACCAGAGAGATATCTACGACTTGAGCATCTATTAGTTCGGACTTACTTTGACCCGCATGAGGTTAGTGTTCTTATGGTGTGTTATGCATTGTATTATATGTACGCATTCATACTGAATCTGCTCCAAATTATGTGTGCAGGCTTATCAAGATTCAACAAAAGAGAAAAGGCGTGCACAAATAGGCCAAGGTTTCAACCATTCTTGTGGTCTTTGCTTGATAGATTACTTTGATAATGCATATATTGACCCAATAGGGTAATTTGGTATCAACAGTTTTCAGTTGTTTAGAATAAACTGATAGCATTGCCCATTAAGCAATGTTGTAAAAGGCACTATACGCTAGTTGGGCGCCTAGCGCCGCCTAGGCAGCCTAGTAACTATAAAAAAATATATAATAAAAGGCAGCGTTCCAGACTTCCAGTGTAGAAGACAATAAATATAAATCAAGTAGAAGTGCTTTCTATTCTCTGAAACAACATCCAAGGAATTCAACCAAGGGATTTTATAAGAGGAGTAGCCGATGAGGTGCAAGTGAGGCTGATGGTGACGGACGACGACGAGGCGACTCCTTGTGGTGACTGCGGCGATGAGCGGATGAGGAGGCTGAGGAGAATTGTGGCTGTGGTGATTGTGACGGTGGCGCTAAGGCTGAAGGCTCTGTAGTCTTTCGATGCTTTTGACTTTTTTTTTTTTTTTTTTTTTTTTTTTGTTTTTGTTTTTGTTTTTGAGTTTTAGCCATTTAGGGTTGGGCGTCGACTCGGCTGAGTTGGGCGCTGAGGGCGCCTAGTTGGCCGGCCAACTAAAAGCCGCCTAGGGGTGAAATCCCCTCGGCCTAGGGGCGCCTAATCGGCGGCCTAGGCCGATTTTTACAACATTGCCATTAAGTAACCTTTTGGTCGTGCAGATACTTAATGATTTATACCCTACCGTCTTTTTTGTTTGTTTGTTTGTTTGTTTGTTTGTAGTTTGATAAATAAAATACCTGATGGTAGCTTCTACATATTTCTTCCCAAATAAAAAGGTGAAAAATGAATGGGACAGAAATCACAGAATGCTAATGTATGTGTTGCTATTTAAGATTCTGGATGATATTTAATGGGACTAGACAGAATTATGGTGTTATCTTTGTTCACTCACTTTGACTGTATATGATGCTAAGCATATCTGCAGTTGGTAAGCCTCTATCTCATTTCTGTTGATACACTTTCTTTTGCTGCATTTCAGCTCTTGCTACAGAGGTTTCTGTTGTCCCTCCTTCACGACTAATGGCTTTGATCGGTCAAGCTTTGAAGTGGCAGCAGCATCAAGGTGACAAACATGAACTTGCACCTACATATACTCTTTTTTATGCAAACCTTCTTTCAAAAAAAATGCTAAAGACAAATATAAGATATGGTGATTTTCTTAGAGTATGAATTATTGTTCCAGACAATGAATTTATTAAGCAGTCTGGTATTTGTGGGAAAGTATGAGCAGGTAGAATGTGTAGTAAAAGGAGGAGGAACTCTTCAATATAGAGATTTGGGGTTACCTCCAGATCTTTTTGAAATAATCCAGTCAAGAGAGCATTATTTCCTTTGAAGGATTAATTGCTTACAAATGGTAGTGTATTCCTTAATCCTTAATGTCTCAAGTTTTAATAATATGACTTTTGGGCAAATTGGTTTTGGTCTTGATATTATTGTATCATAATATATTGATCTTGCCACTGGCCCTCCACTGCATGTCTATACACAAATTCTTCTTTAAATAAGTGATTGTTAGGTAAAAATGTATAATGCTTATTATTGCAACACCATTATTATATTGCTCATTGAGTGAATATCTTAATATCTACTCTACCAAGTTGCAGTCATTTTTTTTACAATTCATGTAGATGTTGGAATGGATTGTTGCCTGCTACTCTTTTTTTTTTTTTTTAACCACCAGTGTACTCTTTTCAGGATTACTTCCACCTGGAACACAATTTGACTTGTTCCGGGGAACAGCTGCTATGAAACAAGATGAAGAGGATATGTATCCCACAACTCTTGGGCACACTATTAAGGTAAATAAAAAGCTTTGCTTTGACTTAATTTCTTTTATTTGGAAAATGAAGAATTTTTGTGTTGATTTTTTGTTGGCAGTTAATTCTATTGAACAAAACCATATAAACCTGAGATAATGTTGTTCAATAGGCTCCTAATATATTTTCATATACTGAGACCTCAGCTGATTGGATATTTCCTCTTGTAATAGTCTTTCTTTTTCCAACTCACTTAATGTTGTTTGTGGCTTTGAGGGAACCAGATCAAATTTTGAATATCATTTTGATAGTGGTTTGTCTCTGCAGTTTGGGAAGAAAAGCCACCCAGAATGTGCTAGGTTCTCCCCAGATGGACAATTCCTTGTTTCCTGCTCTGTTGATGGATTTATTGAGGTACTGATCCAACTCTCTCTAACATCTCACTGTTTCTTGAGTTTCTAGATTCTTTTTCTTAATCTTCTTTTTCTTTCTCTGGAGTCCAGGTATGGGACCACATAAGTGGAAAATTAAAGAAGGATCTTCAGTATCAGGCTGATGTAAGTTAATTTTTTCAATTTTTGAGTACTTTTTTGTTTGATAAAACTATAACTTCTGGCTATCTTGCTATCATGATAATATAAGTTGTTTCAATATTTTTTGGTAAATTGTTATGATTCCTTTGTCTTTGTCTTATGATTATGCGTGCCTAGTTTTGTGATTCACTATTTTGTCTTCTTGTATTTTGGTGCTCAATACTTTGAAAGAAACCAGATAATATTTGGCAAGTGCAATTGTTATTAGTGTTGTCTATGAAAATGTTTTATGTGCGACTCATTGTTGTTAGATACTTTCAGAATTAAACTATCATTCAAATTTTAGAGATACTGTTTTATGTATTCAAGAAAGAAATTACTGGTCATTTATTCAACTGAATGATGATATACATAAAGTTTTGAGCTATCTAGTTGTCCTTAATATATGTTTTGGCAAGATGGAGTTCTCCATTTATCTGGTTGTTAACCTTGTGTATTTGCTGACATCATTTGAACTTTGTAGGAAACATTTATGATGCATGATGATGCTGTGCTTTGTGTTGATTTTAGCAGAGACTCTGAGATGCTTGCATCTGGATCTCAAGATGGAAAAATAAAGGTAAACTTGTTTTTATTTCTGGGTTTACATGCCAGCATTATCTTGTCCCCTGCCAATTTCTTCCTAGTTTGTATTGGAAGATGGTTGAGTGGATAACTTGAGGAAAGACTTACAGGTTTAGGTTCAAATGATTGCTCTGCAGTCTGTATCTATTCTTTATATGTTATTGTCTACATGGGAGTGGCAATCTGTCGCGCATTTTGCTGTGGAGAAATTAAGAGAGTAAAGAAGAGGGGGAAAGAAATTAGGAACATAGTTTGCTTAACCATACCCTGTGTAGTTTATTCAATTTTATTTTTTATTTTTTTTTATTTTAGGTGTGGCGTATAAGAACTGGTCAGTGCTTGCGCCGTCTTGAACGGGCACATTCTCAGGGTGTCACTAGTCTTGTCTTCTCTAGAGATGGAAGTCAGATCTTGAGCGCATCGTTTGACAGCACTGCCAGGTTTGTTGTGGCTATGCATATATGTGATGACATTTTGTTTTTGAGGGACGGGTACCCATCTTTTAAGGGGCAAAGTCAAATTGAGGTTAAGAGTAGCTTGACTTGTTAAGCAATGATAATTCAATGGCCATTGGGAAACCTTAATTGATCTTTGCTCTTTTTTATTCCTAAATGCATTGTAGAATCCATGGCCTGAAATCGGGGAAATTATTAAAAGAATTCCGTGGCCACACATCTTATGTGAATGATGGTATTTTTACTAATGATGGATCTCGAGTCATCACGGCATCTAGTGATTGCACAGTGAAGGTAAGATTACTTTGTTATTGACTATAGAATCAATGACAGACTTTTCATATTCTATGCAAGTCTCATTTGAAATACCTAAAACAGGTTTGGGATTTGAAGACCACAGACTGTCTACAGACCTTCAAACCTCCACCTCCTTTGAGGGTATTTATCTTTCATGGCCTACAGCTCTAGTTCATGCTTGTTTGTTTTTACAATCATCTTCCAAGGCTTGCTTTCACATAATTGTTTAATTTCCATTACTTTTTCCTTATAGGGAGGCGATGCATCTGTAAATTCTGTTCATCTTTATCCCAAGAATACAGATCATATAGTTGTGTGTAACAAGACATCATCAATATACCTGATGACCCTTCAAGGGCAGGTAAACCTTTGTTTATTTTATTTTATTTTATTTTATTTTATTTTTCTTGTTATGTGATGTGACTACATAACTTGCTATGTGGGGTGATCATTATGGTTAATTTGTTGACTATCCTGAATTGTTTGATATATTCTACTCATGTTTAATTGTTTTACAAGCTCTTTTTATTTCCTTTTTCCTTTTTGCTATTCCTTTAATTAACTGACCCCCCCCCCCCCCCCCCCCCCCCTCCACCAATTCTTCCCCAAATGTTCAGCATACACCTAGTTACTTGCACAATTTGCTAGATTGTGTTTATTCTTCTCTATATTACTCTTGAGAAATCCTGTACTATGTATTCATAAATCATAAGGTCTGTGATGCCCGCTTGTCAATGCAGATTCTGATATTTTCTGAGGTCTAGTCATTCTGTAAAAGATTGGAGAGTTTCAAACTTTATCTACTATTATATTGTATTTAGTGTTCAGAAACATCTTCTACTGAATCAGACACTTTGCGAGTTTTTGAATACTGTAGTTAGGGAGTTGAAAGTTTGTGTTATCATTCTGAGCTTTGCACTGGAATACAGGTTGTGAAAAGTTTCTCATCTGGTAAGAGAGAAGGCGGTGATTTTGTGGCAGCCTGTGTATCGCCCAAAGGAGAATGGATATACTGTGTCGGTGAAGACAGGTATAAATAATTGATTCTCTTTACTGCGCCTTTTGGGCTTGCTCGAGGCTTCCAGTAATAAGACCACTTAAGTATAGATATTGATATTGCAGTTTCTTTTCTCCAGTTTTATGTTAACTGGAGTGAAGGGAAGCAAATGCATTTAACATTTATTTCAAGATCCCTTTCCTTTTTCTATAACCTTGCATTTCTATATCTAATCTAAAATCTAATCTAATCTAAATCTAAAAAATAATAAGTCTCAATCAAAGTTATATCCCTCATTTATGTCCATGTTTTTAATGCTAATCATTTTGTACATTTATGCTTTTAGAGTTGTACTATATAAATTTTTGGACAAAAATACCTCTACCGTTATAACTTCCATTATCTTTTCCATTATTGTTACCATGCACATGCATCCACCATATATTTTTTTATATTCTTTAATAATAATAATATTTGTAGACATTATATATTGGATTATTGTAATAAATAAATTTGATTCATATAGATTTTAATTAGTAGGTATTTGTTACCATGCACATGCATCCACCATATATTTTTTTATATTCTTTAATAATAATAATATTTGTAGACATTATATATTGGATTATTGTAATAAATAAATTTGATTCATATAGATTTTAATTAGTAGGTATTTGTTAGTTATTTTAAAAGATATAAATATTGGGCATATATTTTTGCGCATCGCGCATAGAAAAGACTAGTAAACATTATAAAATGCTTTTCATAAGCACATTCTTATATGCTGGCTCTATTTTGACAGAAACCTGTACTGCTTTAGCTGTCAATCTGGCAAACTGGAACATTTGATGAAGGTAAGCTCTTAAACCTTATTGAAAACTCTTTATTTTTTATTCTTGTAATTTTCCGTTTGGTCACATAAAAAAAAGCCTGCATGTATACAGTGCCGGTCCAAAAAGTCGAGGAATAACCTTGCTAATGAATGAGGATTTTATTCCATTAACATACCATGCTAGCCTTATTGGCCAACCATAATCATAGGACAACGGAAAAGTTGTTTAATATGGGTTCCTTTTCCTCATTTTATTTGAGTCATCTTTTCCATTTGTTCACTCTCTTTATTTCCTTTCACCCATGATTTCCAAAATGTGGCCTTTCAAGCTTCTTTGTATAGGGACATGAAATATGGATTTTCCTCGAGTGGCTTCTAACTCTCGCCTCACCAAAATAAATCTTCTTTGTTGTATTTTCTATTTTATTTTTGGGCATTGTATCTAGCTCTGTTCCTTAACATCACAACACACCGATAATGTTCCATTTTTAACGCTTGCTGGCAGGTGCATGAGAAGGATGTGATTGGTATCACTCACCATCCCCATATAAATCTTGTTGCCACTTACGGTGAAGACTGTACCATGAAATTATGGAAGCCGTAGTTGTCCCTCGCGTTGTGAAGTTGTGGAATGAAATTCTATTTCTAATCCCACCATTTGCTTCTCGACGACCATCTTTGATTATTGTAGTATCAAGTTTATTTTTGTACCAGTGTATACAACCATGGACCACCAACCCAGACTTCTACTCAAAATTGACAAATCAATGTACTAGTTCTGATAGACTAGATACCTGTTTCTGTAAATTAATTCATGTTATTGCTACTTTGGTTTTTGAGTAATATTACACTTGTTTTCTCTCTCTCTCTCCTTCTTGGATTAACATGAATGTTTCTTCTTCTTCTTTTTATTTATTTATTTATTTATTTATTTATTTTTTTTAAAAATACTTTGGATTAACATGAATGTTTTGATTGATTCAAACAAAAAGGGTTTACAGCTTTTGTTGTGTGTTTTGTTTTGTTTTGTTTTGTTTTTTTTGTTTTTTTTTTTGTTTTTTTTTTCTCTTTGCTCTAGAAAAGCTAGTTCTTGCCAAATGGATGACTAAGATGGACTCTTAGTTTTCTTCTGAAACAAATTCACATATGATCATTTTCGTATATGTACATGGACATGTTCAAGTGAGAACAATCTCAACCATCTATTTCTGACCGATTGACAAATTAAAAATTTAAGAAAAAAATATAATGACAATTTTGTAATTATTACGAACTTTAGATGCACATTAAATAAAATTTAATTGTGTATCGATATCTAATAGTGCCTTTAAAATCTACCAATGGTGCACTCAAGTTTGTTGTGTCGTAACATATCAGTGCACCTTATAGTACAAGCATAGTTAAGTGTACTCTTTTTAGAGTTGAGTGCACTTTTAGTTACTAGCAACTGCAATCTTAAATTTGTCCCAATGCATAATAAAAGTTCACAATATTTATGAAAATGTTATCCCCCTTTTTTTTTTTTTTTCTCTAGATATTTAACTTTGTCCATAAGATTAACTCATGTAGATGGATCATATCAGTCCAATTATTTACGAAGAAATTTGTTTTCATTTGAGCTTGAATAAGCTTTGATTATATATATATATATATATATATATATATATATATATATATATATATAGGGTCAGGTTCATGTGAGGTCATATCTTCCCGTGTGGTCAGTGCGGCATACACCATTAGGTATGCATAAATGCACCACACAGTGTTCGTAAATACACCATTATGTGTGGTGTATTTTTTTTGTGTGGTGTATTTTTTGGCATTTTATTCTGGTGTATTTTCGAACACTGTATGGTGTATTTATACATACCTAATGGTGTATGCCACACTGACCGCACGGGAAGACCTGACCTCACAGGAACCAAAATCTATATATATATATATATATATATATATATATATATATATATATATATATATATATATTTGTACCTTACGCGTTTCACTTTTTGCATTTCTCATTTCTTATTTTCCATTATTGTGCAACCTAGGTAGGTAGTCACTTTAATGTTGAGTTCAAACACATGAAAGAGGAATTATATTTTGTTTTAACTTTTTTTTTTTTTTTTTAATTTTCAAGATAATATTTTTCTTAAATTTGCGTGAATATACTGTAACACTTTCCCGTATAATATATTACGGAGTATATATTACGGGTCTTAATTATGTGGTGTAAGTGACCGGACTAGGCCCAATAAGTAGTTTGGTTGGACTGGACATCTAAGTTTAGTCTGTATTTCACCATTATGCATGCCTATATAAAGCCGGTATTGGTAAGATATAATACATACAACATATAACACCTAAAGTTATGGTACTCATACTGCTCAGAAAATACCAATACGCCATGTAGGTTCTGAGTCAAGTATGACACAAAATGACTAACACTTTGCATGTCTAGGCAAAACAACAAAATCCATCAACTATAACTGAAGATCTACATTACTTCCGTTATTACGAGGTTAGACTATATTTAGATCTAACATATATACATATATTATGATTTAAATATTACAGCTTAATATATTGTATTGTCTTTTTGAATGACCCTAATGATTTCCCAAGACGAGGCAATTAAAAGCTTCTTTTGGTCTTGGTAAAGAACTAGAGACAGAATCTTAGCAGTATAGCAGCCATGTAGCTAGCTCAAAGGGTCAGAGCTCTAAATGCAACCCAACTTCTTACCTGCCTCTACATGAAAATATATACAAATGCATTAACTTCCCGGTCAAAATCACAACCAGTACCACACAAATATATAAGTTTTTAGTTGTACTTTTGTATACTTTTTAAGGTAAATTTTACGTAAAAAAAAATACCGTATTCTCAAAATAAAAATCAAGCAAAATATATTTGTAAATTTATACATTATGCAAGTTATGAAACATGCATCACTTTTTTCTTTTTAATAGTATTGCAAGTTGTAAAATTTCTATATTTTGACTCTATTTAATAGAGTTTGTTTTAGAGCTTTTAAATTAAACTCGATCTTATTTAAACTTATTTTTATATACTATGTTAGTATGTTTGATATCATCTAGAAATAAATTCAAGATTTTAAAGTATCTCTCACAATCCTGGATTGTGCTGCAATGTAGAGGTATTTGGAGTGAGAGATTCCCTCTTTTTAAACAATTTTTAATTATTTATTTACTTTTGTCTCACTATATCCTCCCCTCCATTCTACAATACAAAAGGCATTCAAGAAGTTAACATGGGTAGCTCACTTGGTTATATGGGTGAAGTTTGGGAACAATGATTCAGGATTGAGTCTCACTCAGTTGAGTTATCATGATTTACATATTCACAGATGCTCTATTGGGCGCATTCAAGAAATTAAAAATCACTTTCGTCCTTTTTTTTTTCTTTTTATTTTTTCTCCTTTTCCCCCTTTTGTATTATTATTATTATTATTATTATTATTATTATTATTATTATTATTATTATTATTATTATTATATTTTCTTTATTATTATTATTATTATTATTATTATTATTTTATTTTACTATAGTTTGGATAGATAGATCAGTTGAACAAAAATATAGTTCACTAAAACTATTGACTATTCTTATATTGCTTAACATGATTTATTCATTCAATGCAAAGGCTTTAACTATTTTCATTGAAAAGAGACTAAAATGTTACCTTATAAACAATTGAAGGAACAATAATTCTTAGAGTAACAATTGACTGACTGAAATCACTATTTTATTTCTTTGTGTCTTTTTATTTGCTAGGGTTACAAGACAAAATTTACTCATTCTAGTGCATATTTTTAAGTCACAAAGCGAGATTTACTCAATGCACATTCTCGAATCACAAAGAGAGATTTACCTATTGGACATTCTCAAGTCACAAGGGCGAGATTTACCCAATGCGCATTCTCGAGTCACAAGGGCGAGATTTACATTCTTGATAGTTGTTACGATTTTTTCTAATTACTAAAAAAACAACTATTTTAATCCCAAATAGGAGATCATGAGCATCGATAGGAGCATTATTGATTCTTTGTACTTTAGTAGGTGGAGAAAGTATATTGAACATATACTACATTGTAACAAAGTCTAGTTTATTAAAAAAAAAAAAGATGGATTGCCTATATATACATAGTCAATATGGGAGGAAGTGGAAGATCAGACGGTGGTCCATACCCGGCCGCGGACGGCGGAGTAATTTCTTGGGGCAAGCAAAGGCAAATTGAATGAGGGCTGAGAATTCTCATGATGCCCGCCCAGCCCACCTGCAAACGGAGTGAAAATACATAATTACATGCACCGAATAGAAGAAGCTAAGCAGCGCCGCGGCTCAGATCAGATCCTCCGTCCAAACCATCCAATCACTTGTATGCATTTGCCAATATCTCCTTCACACACTAGCTTGATGATCCCAATAAACCCTAAATTTTTGTGTCGTTGACTATATATTTTCCATTATTTTTGTGGAGAATTGAATGGAATCACACTAGTCAACTCTGATGTTTAGAGAAACAAGCTAAGTAGTTAAGATTCAGATTAAAGCATTCCCAATCATCATTATATTTATCCTTCAATTCGTTATATAAAAATAATTAATAGTGATGAACATATACCATCATATTGGAGAAGGAATCAAATGTATTTTCTTTTACATTCAAGAATTCGATCTCATTCTTATGCATGTGCTTCCATGCATACCCCTTTGAGGTTCAAGAAATGAATACATACATTGCTTCTCTTTGAAAATCTACTTCAATAGGACTTGAAATCAACAGGATTTGTTTCATTAAGTTTTATTTTCTAATTAAGTGCTCAAGGACAATTTCCATTTGATCAATGGATAATACTCGCGCGTATTAAGGATAACATATCAGTATATCACTATGGTTACTGTCTTGATGATTTGGGTTATGGTGTTTGCACCAAGTGGGAGAATGTAATATTTTCCTATTAATTATTATTATTATTATTATTATAACATTAGAATAATTTATGATAATATTAAGTGTTTATTATATATAGTACAACACTAATAGCTAGACTTCAACTAGGAGTTTGGTTCGAATTTAGGAGACATAATAATGACATGCATAAAACTACCACATTGATTGCATGTGGTTATTTAAGGTTCCTAGACAATCATTCCCCATACACCATCTAGAGAGAATTGAGCATAAGTGAGAGACAAAACAAGAGCTGCACATGCATGTGAACTCTAAATACAAGCAGTCCAGGATTACTCAATCATCTACAACAGGAAGGAAGCACTATGCTGGAGGTTAGTGTTTATATTATGATATGATCCTGATTATCACATGTTTATATTTTCACTTGACATAATTTGTCTTACATTGATTTCGTAGGATAGAATGTGGGGAGGTGTCCACACCTTTTACAACTACATATGTTCTCACCTGAACACTTCCATATATATATATATATATATATATATATATATATATATATATATATATATATATATATATATATATAGACTTGCACTCGGGTGCGAACGGCTCGTCCAGGCGCGAAATAGGAATATATATAGGGACGCACTCAGGTGCGAATAAGTGCCCAGGAAGGAAATGCAAACGAATCAACGCGCGACACGTGTCCAGATATAATAACTTAAAAAAAAAAAAACGCGGTGGCATTTTCGTAAATAATTGAATATCGAAGTGCAAGTAAAATCTCTTACAAGTGCACATACTTTCACCTATAAGTGCATGTAATTTTGTCTTGTTAGCATTCACTTTCCGCAAACATTCATGCACCTGGGTGTGCTTATAACTATATGTGCAACTATTTATAACTATAGGTGCAACAA